CCCCCCCCCCAACCCGCCCCTTGTCTTTCAATAGTAAGCAGGAGTGGCACCCTTTCCTGACCAGGATCAGAATGAATGACCGCAGCGCCTGCATTCACTCTGCACCTTCTCACGCGTCTGCAAGGTTCTGTCTCGGAGACCCCAAATCCTGCCTGGGGCAAACTTTCTCCCGTTAATTGTCTTGAGATAACACGTCGCTAATTACCCTAATTACTCTCGGGCCCTGCAACACCGTCCCCCGCGGGCCAGGGAGGGTGGCGCGGCGCCTGGGCGCGGGGAGGGACCAGTAATCCTGGCCGCACGCGGAGGCTGGTCCAGAGCTCCGCTGGAAGGAGCACCCAGGCCGGCCTGCGGCCCCTCTTGGGTCCACCTGCCTCAACTCCTGTGTCCATTGAATAGAACCCGAGCAGCTTGGAGTCGTCCCCGCTCCCCGTCCCTTGAGCAAGAGTTAGGATAACTGACGCATATGGAATACGGGGGAAGAGAAAGGCCTATTCCTCCACTCCCTGCCCACCCTACTGAAAGCCGCCCCCCATTCTACTACCCTGTTTCATGTTTTCACAAAGAATCACTACTGGAGAGTACCGTGTTTATTTATTTTAACCTGTCTCATCCCTCCCCTTCCCCTACCCCACGCACGTTCTTGAGAGCAGAGACCTTGCCTGTCTTAATTCGGTATCATACCCCAGACTTACACGTGGCGGGGAGTCAGCAGAGCCTCTAACAGCCTTGTGTTAAGTAAGTCTGTGGACCGAGCAGCGGCTCCTCAGCTCCACGATGAAGACTGGGCTGGGAGGAGCCTACACTTGGAGGTGAGACGGACCCACACTTCCAGACTTCCAGCACACTTCCAGAGTTCAGAAGAACTGCTGATTGGCTGCTTTGGTGGAGGATGTTCCTTTTCTGATCGGAGTTTGGGAAACAGGGTTGAAACTAAGGCACTCTTACTGAGGCCGCTTCCCAATGCCCACTCATAAGACGGTGCTCTCTCTTTATCACCAAACGGGGGTCACGTGCTTTGTTGGGGGACGTCGGTACAATCTGGCGGCACGATACCCCCAGCCGCGTGGGCCAGGACTAGGTGTCCCGCGGCCAGCCCCCAGCAGCGGCTGCCCTAGCCCTGTGCGACCACCCGCTGCTGGATCCACTCGCTGCAGCCCAGCCCGCGCCCCCCCCCCTGCGCCCTTCTCATTGGCTGAAGGCATCCCCCCTGAATTCTCATAGGCTGTCGCACTTTTCCTCCGCCCCCCGCACGGACCGCGCGCCGCGCCAGCCAGGGAAGCTGCTCTAAGTCCGGGCCTTGGAGCAGAGGCTCGGCTCGGCCCTGAGAGAGGCGCGGAGCGCGGGGGCCGGGGGCCGGTGTTCCCACCCGGGGACGCTCTTGTGGAGCCGAGCCCGGCAAATGGGCGCAGGAGGAAGAGAGCAGGGAAATGGACTGCTATTTGCGCCGCCTCAAGCAGGAGCTGGTAAGAGCGCAGCAGGCGCCGGGGGCCGGGAGGACTGCTCCGCCCCGACGGCACCTGGCCCCCGCCCCGGGCCGGCCGGGGAGCTGGGAGTATTCGGGCAGGGGAAAGCCAGAGAGGAGGGGACGGGCAGGCAGAGGGCAGGGCCTGTCCCGAGGGAAAGGGCCGCGAGGAAACTTGGAGCGAAGATGTGTGAGTGAGGCAGACGCGAGCAAGTGACGGAGACCTAGCGACCCCAAACCCAGACTGAAATGCGCCCAGGGAAGTCGCTGGAGAAACGGGGGCACACTCCCAGACGGACAGACGCGCGGGAGCTGGACGCCCGGGCCGGCTTCTGGGGCCGCTCGGGGCGCCGCGGAGCGCGCGGGGCAGGCGGGGCGCGGGGAGCAGGGGCCGGG